GACAGAGCTATATTTCCGTTTTGGGGTTACCTGCTAAGCTCACGGCTTTAGCTTATTCTTTTCGATTTCCACCGCCAACGATATAAGTTGTCTGTAATAAATTTTCTCCAACAAGCAGACCGACCTCGTGGATTGGCTACTTGGTTAGAATAATAAACCGTGAGTACCCATCAACCAACAGAAAAGGCAACGAATACTTATTAGTGCTTTTATTTAATTTTGTTTAAAGAAATCTATTCGAATAACGCAACACGCGTTCAACGGTGGCTGAATTCAGTGAACTATCAGAGGCCAATTTGAATGCTGGCTTAGCACCACCATATTCCTCCTGAGACCGCGCCTAACCTTAACCGCACTGGCTTACAATACTGCCCAGTGGCCATAACGTAGCGCTGCCTAACAGCCGTAGCCCGATCAGCAGCTACACAACAGCCTAATTCGGCCCAACAGCCAGTACAGCAAAGCAGGTGCAGCAACAGCAGGGCAACCCAGCAGCCCGAATAAGCCCCGATACCCAGTGAAAATAGAGCAGGTGCAGCAAACCCAGGGCTATCTTCAGCAGCTATACTAAAGCCTAGATAGGCCCAAAAAGCTGTCCAATGTAGAGCAGCAGCCGCAGCAGCATCAGCAGTATAAACATAAATCAACAGCAACATAAATCTAATGCACGTTGTTGCTATATTTTTCTAAGTTTTATAAAAACAAATCTACCTAGTATGCATATAAATATTCGATAAAAAAATGTAATAATTATAAATTACAGTTCTTAATTTGCTGTGGTTTTAATATATAAGAGAGAGAAAAAAAAATGGTAGGCAAAGAGATCAACGTTGCTGCTGCGAACCGGTGAAAATTTACAGTGAAAAAAAATATATAAATAAAAACTTGGCAAAATATGCGAATGTGCTAGTAAAAGTGTAATCCCGCAGTTTTAACGCGAAAATGTTATAAATTGCATATCTAAAATGTTAACGAGAAAAAAAAATTAACAAATTAAAAGTAAACAATGTTGCCGAATCAAAACTAAAACCTTTTTAACTAAAAATATACCCGACGACCATATACATAACTAAATAAACATGTACAAGAAGTCGCCGCTGCCAAAGATCTTTCGCCGCCGGAGTTAATCGACTGTAAGTTACCTTTATCATACCTTGTTTCATTATTTCCTTTATTTAGTTATTTCGTCACTGGTCAAACCGCATAAAATTTATTATGTTTTGTTTTGAATATGCATATTTGAGCGTTTACGCTGTGTTGCTGACCGTGCTTGCAGTTCTAAAGCTCTGTTTTAATAAGCGAGGGCAGATACAAAAGTTTTTCCTTAAGATTTACACGCGCAGTCACTTATAAATTTAAACCCTTAAATATTTACAATGATCATCTACTATTAACCTATATGAGATTTTTATATAAATTTATATATATATAGCAATTATTTTTTATATACATTAATCCCGTTCTCTTTCAGCAACTTTGAACTCTTTGCAAATTTCCGATAAGAAAAAAAAAAAAAGAAAAAATGAAATGAATTAATTAGACAGTTTTATTTAGGTATGTTAATAAAACTGAATTTTTTTTTGGAGGCACTAATTTAAAAAAAAAAATATTTTTCTTAAGGAAAAAAAATAAATAAATAAAATCGAAATGATAGAGAGCTTTTTGTTAGAAATAAAATTTACCTATATTTAAAAATTCTTTATAGTATTGTTTCAAAATTTAAAACCACAAATATGAAAAAGTTATATGAAAACAGTTTATTTTTCTAATGTGAAATAATATTAAAATAAACAAATTTATCACAGAATAAGCTTGTATGAAACAAAAACAAACATATCTCAGCCCATATGAAAGGGATAATTCGTAATTATAATTTGTAATAAAAAAATGAATTTTAACTAAGTTTCTCCTTATCCGGGGATCATGGAAGTCGAGTGACGTTTAAAAGTGATTGGTAGTCACTCCAAAGGATCCTGAAGAGGAAATGTTGGACCATTAGGATCATGGTAGGGTGGGCACTTCGCCTTCTTGGCGTAGTAAAAGGAGTGATGTTTTGGTAAGTGTATCTCTCACGTTTTGTTTTGTTTTCGTATTCTATTCTTTCTTCAAGCCTTTTCTTTTATTTTTTTTGTTCTCTAGCTTCCCCAATATACCCAAATATATAGTACGCGAATTTTAAGTTATTTTTACTAGCATACGAGCCTTATAACGTGGCGGTTTTCTTTTCTTCAATGACCCACCCCATGCCGACCAGACATATGAAAAGCCGAGGATGTCGCGTACTCCGCAAACACGTTAATTTTTCCACCAGCTCTTTCCTAATAGATCGTTATATGCTACAGAGTTGCATGCAGATAGCCTTAAAACTGAGAGACTAGTTTGCGTAGAAACGGAAACGTCTCCATCACTGCGTTGCAAACTTCTGACTGAAATTATAATACCATCTGCAAGGGTATAAAAATATGATAGTGATTTCCTGATTACGAAAAGTTTAAGCTTCTTTTAAAACACTTACATATTTTAATTCATTCCCCGTTACTTGTGTATTGACTTCCTTTAGCTGGTCAAAGGAAGTTAAGTGGAGTTGGGACAACATTTTGGTCTCTGCAGGTCCCATCTCCTTCAAAATAACCAATATTTGGTTGTTGGCATCCAGCGCCGCCATAATAAGGTCTTTCACCTCTATAACTTCATTTTTCAGCTGGCAGATTTTCCTTTCCAGCATTTGGGGTCTTACCTCGACCTGCGAAGAGGAAGAGGATCCCGACTCAAGGGGAACTGGCGTTAAAGTATATTAACTTGAAATGAAAAAATAATAATAATTAATAACAACTTTGAAAAACTTCAGAATTGATAGTCTCTTATTGTCTATGCTCTGATGACCTACAGCTGTTAAGAACAGCTGAAATCGGAAGGCTGAGGTTGGATGTGCTCTGTGGAAACCGGATATTCACTTTTTTCAAAAATCTCAACGTATTTTCAGAGATGGAATGCGTGGAAAGAGGGTAAGACCGTCAAAAGCGGACTAACAAGGAAGTTTTTGGAAGGGCAAAACCTTCAACGGACGGTGGAAAGTGGATGGATCCCTATGGAAATACCCTATTAGTTCTCTCATTGTCTACAAAAGTTTACTTTGTCATTGAAGGGCATGTTAACATATTTATAAAATATTTGATCAACAGAAAAAGATTATTCTTCACTGTTCCAATTACAATCAGTGAGGAGAAAGCCAAGAGACAAAGTGAATGCCCCTTTTCCACACAGTCCATCGGTTGGAAACGATTGGAATTTTTAACAAATGTGAAACTCCGATTTCCACAGAGCACATCCACCTTCCAATTTCAGCTGATCTCAACAGCTGTGGCTGCACTTCTTTCTTTCAAAAATCCCAACGTTTTTCCAGGGATGGACTGCGTGGAAAGAGGGTTGCACCGCAGAAACATCGGCTAACTATCGCATAATATAGTCCATAAAAGTTTAAAGGCGGACTAACTGGGAAGTTCAACGGATGGTGGAAGGTGGATGGATCTCTGTGGAAATACGCTTTAAGACTTTGTTTCAAAAAAACTACATAGATTTGAAAATCTGTGGCCTTCAACAAAGAAAACACTATCTTTTTTATAAAATTTAGAAAGTTTAAATGGGATATTAGGTTTGATGCAAGAAATATTATTCCGCACCTTAAAAGATATCATAAAATTACTAAAAATGTATTGATTAATATTTCCAAATCTATCAGTACATTTTTGTTCTACGGTTTTGAAGAAAATAAAATATTTATTCGGCTTCTTGACGCTTCGTTTGGCTAATACGTTTGCCAACTTGATTGCACTTCATGCAACCACTAAATGAGTTGGTGCCTTAGTTTTAATACGACACGTTTGTCACCAATTTTAAGGGGACAATCAGAAAGTTTTACCAGCTCAGATACAAAATCGCTCATATATTCGTTTACATTAGCTGGCTTTCGACTACCAACATAAGAGCCAATCAAAAACACATCACTGCTGGGAAAATTTTTAAAGCATCCTTAAAGTGGCCACAAACTGGTATTTGAACTTTTAAAAAGCGGTCCGTCTACGTTGACTTCCAAAACTATTTCGGAATTATCTACGAGCTTATCTTTTACAAATTCCAAATAATTTTAAATGCCAGTGCAACACTACGGATAACCGCTATAGGTAAATTTAAGTTTCAAAATTTATAAAAGTGCATCAAGTTGATCTCTAGTAACATTATTATTATATTACCATTTTAATAATTTTTCACGGAGATTCGGTTTTTTTTCGCAATCAACAAATGCATTATTAAGATCCGTGTCTTAGGTATCATATTGAAAAGAATAATTTGATGCACTTTGATCCGATTCGGAATCACATTTATTTGAGCATTCATTCAGAATTATTTTCTGTATCAAAAGTAATAGCAAATTGCAGAAGCTTTTCCTCTTGTTTTTTCGTTAAACGCTGAATATTTGACCGCGACAATTCCCCAATATTTAAATTATGTTAATTTTGTTTATTTTGTAAAAATTATTTTTAAATTAAATTATTACATTTTATTTTATAATGTCTAAATAATTAAATTTATTTTTATTTTTCTTAAATTTTTTTCCCCTTAATATGGGTTCTTAGGTCCTCTCTAATAAAACACCACCTTAGGCTGAAGTAAAAGGAAAAGATAAGAAAGAGAGCACCCAAATAAACGAAACGAGTTCATAAAACACAAAATTTAAATATATGAAATTTAAATATATGAAAAGTTCGATATTTGTTTTTTTTTTGGAATTAAGTGTAAAAAATATTAAAAACGCATTAGTTTAATTTGAACACGAAAATGTATTCATTATAAAATAACACAAGTCTTATAGCAGTGTACGCTCAAATAATATTTTATTACTTTGTTACGGAACTGCATCTTTCCCGGAGGGCAGCGCCGGCTAGTCACGGAGTCCCAGGGCGGAGTACCCCTTATGCCCTGCAGTCCCAACAATCGATTCCGACTCATCGGACGTCTCACGTCACTAACTTGACGATTTACCATCTCTACCACAAAGCAAAACAAAACAAAGCTATATTTACATCAAAACTTTGACAATTGGACGAAATGTCCTTCGATGTCCTTGCCACGACGCACCCACCCAACCTTGGATGCCCCAAAAAGGATGTAGGAGGCACGCCCCATCTCCGGCAGACCGGAGTCTATTCCTGGTGGATTAGGATCGGCTCATCTTTCCGCCCAAGGTAACTTACACAAACATCTCGGTAGCTTGTTCACATTTAATCTTGGGCAAGTTTAATAAATAAATACATTCATTATGGATGCCTACTAATAATCTACTCTTTTCGTTAGAAACACTCAAGGCCAATCTCAGACCGTCGCCCAGATGAAAAGCGGTCAAAGCGGCAACAACCGAAGGGAAATTTTTAGACGCTTAATACTACAAGTGTCAGGCAAAAATCGCCGCACGGCACTAAATTGGAGGCGTTTGCCAACCGGGTCGCCTAATCCTGAGGAGCTCCAAGGGAAAAGAAGGGACGTGCTGAAAATGTAAGTACGCTAAATAAATTCCACAAGTCATTAAATTTCGCGACCCAATTTATAGTTAGTTGGACGCGCGGCCCGGGTTCGGAATTAAGCCTCTAATTTTAGATTAGATTTCACAGTGAGTACCTGACAATCTGGACTAGGTGACATTACAAAAACAATGACTAAAGCTTATTTATTGCAGAGTTCCTCGTCGGATGTGGTTGAAACTGCAGCCAGAATGCAAAAATCGCTAGCGGCGAAAACCAGCGCGAGTCCGCACGGAGCCAATTGGTCCGGAGGATAGCGCAGCGTCCGCGTAAGAGGGGCCGGAGGCAGTGCGTCGGTGGACTTGGAGATGACCACGTGGCCAGCGCGGGCATTCGTTCCCGGAACGGACTCACCGAGGAAATCTCCGTATCTGGCCGTCTCGGAGGCAGTCGCTGTAGCTGCTGGCGCTGGAGGCTGCTGCGGCTGATGCTGCTGTGGCTGATGCTGCTGCGGCTGATGCTGCTGCGGCTGATGCTGCTGCGGCTGATGCTGCTGCGGCTGATGCTGATGCTGCTGCGGCTGATGCTGATGCTGCTGCGGCTGATGCTGCTGCGGCTGATGCTGCTGCGGCCAATGCTGCTGCGGCCAATGCTGCTGCGGCCAATGCTGCTGCGGCTAATGCTGCTGCGGCTAATGCTGCTGCGGCTAATGCTGCTGCGGCTAATGCTGCGGCGGCTGGTGGACGACGACCAGGTTTGGTCCGCCTGGTAAGTGTTCACTTCCCAAATCTTTTAAATTTCCGGGGCCCTCTAGATAGGGTCCCCGGTGGCTTTAATATTTACAAAAAACACTGTTATTCATAAGTTTATTGCAAATAAATAACCACTCACTTTAATTTATCTAAACACCAATAATGCACATATGAACTTATTTTTCCACGACTGTTCTCCTACGACTTATTGCAGCAACTAAAGCAAAACCCTGACCTACACCAAAGTCGTTCGCCATTTTCCCCCCGCTCTCTCAAGATGGGTCAGCGAACGTATTCAAGGCCATTTAACCCAGTTAACGAGCGAACCGGGCTAAATTTAAATAGCTAAATCCTCTCCCGCTATCAATAGTAGGTGTCACCACCGAATCTTATCGATAGCGGGACCTGCTGACGTATCGGTTCGTTTTACTATTTTCCAGACGGCTTCAACTGAAAATGCAACACCACCCTGGATTCCGAGAGACGCCAACACAAAGTTTTAGATAAGCGCAGGAATTCTTGGGAGCATTTGGATTTGGACTATTTGGATTCAGCCGGCCTCGATACCAAGATGCAGTTTCAACGGTGTCCAACGCGGGGCCCACGCTTTACGGGAATTAGACACATGCCGATTCTGAGCTCGTGTACTTTGTTATTCCTCTTTCCAGATCACAACCTAATGTCCTTGGCATGGTACACTCCGATCGATCGTCCTTGAAGATCTTCAAGCTCGTACGATTTATTGCCGACTGTCTTGACCACCCGAGCTTTCAGGAACTTCCGAGCGAACTTAGCATTGAAGGCCTTTTTGAAATCGCTGGGGGCAAAGTTGCGGCGATACACTTCCTGACCTGGCTTCGCAAGGAAAGTACGAGCCGTTTTGTCGTACCGCTGGCGACTCCAATCCTATGCACATTCGAGGTTCTTCTGCACCTTGTCCTGGATCAGTTGGAGTTTATCAGCTGTTCTCATCCCAGACATTTCGTGATCACACAGAGACTTCAACTTCCTTGCCAACTTGTAGCTGGCTCCGTTCAGGAACATGTGTCGTCCGAATACGGTGAAGAACGGAGCTTCTCCAGTTGCTGAATGGACCGCGTTGCGGAGGGCCACCTCAATCTCCGGCAGATACGCGTCCCATTCTCGATGATCTTCTTCTAAGTAGCTTCGGATTGCCGCCAACACGCTTTGGTTTACCCTTTCCGCAGCGTTGCTTTGCGGAGAGTGGACTGGCGTTTTGATGTGCGTGATGCCAAAGCTTTCCATCGCCTCCTCGAAGATCTTGGACGTAAACTGGCGGCCGTTGTCCGAATGCACAATTTCTGGAACCCCAAACTTGTAGAAAACCTCGTGAATGAGGAACTCCACTACATTGGAGGCCGATGCCTCTTGCATGGCTTTCCAAAATGTGTATTTCGAGAAGTGATCCACCACAATGAAGATGTAGGCCTGTCCCTTCTTCGACTTCGGGTACTTCCCCAGGAAATCGATGTACAGCTTCTGAAATGGCTGCTCAGTCTGGACTCTCTCACCGATGCCAACTTGCATCCGGAAATTCGGGGATTTCGTCTCCTTGCACACTTCACACCTGCGTATGGACTCCCGGACTTGCAGTGCCATGCCAGGCCAGTAAAACTGCCGCCGTAGATTTTCCAGAGTTTTTCCCATTCCGCCATGAGCTGCCGTTGGATCCGAATGTGCACGCTCAATTATGCTGTGGGTCAGACTCTGGGAAATCCACAACTTCCATTCGAAGCCTTCCACCTCGTCATCCAGATTTGCCGAAGAGACTCTCTTGAAGATGAGACCATCCACTATCCTCAAGTCAGGTAGGTTGGCCAAGTTTTTTTCCACTTCTTGTAACAACTCCGTGTACTCTCGAAGCCGAGCAACTCTGACGGGTCCACCGTTAGCTCTTCAACACAACGCGAAAGGGTATCTGCCACAACGTTCTCGCTTCCTTTCCTGTGTTCGATGTTGAAGTTGAGTTGAGTTAGGGCCATCTTCAGGGAATCTACTGCCAGCTGTGCTTCTGGACTCAAGGAAAAAAGGGCAGCCAAAGTTGCGAAGTTCTTTATGAACCGACGGTACCAACCAGCGGTCCCAAGAAAGGCTCTCACTTCCTTCATGGTCCTTGGCTCAGGCATCCGCCTAATAGTTACTACACGCCCTGGATCCATCCGCAGACGTCCTCCACCCACTATGAAGCCGAGGTAGGTCAAAGACCCTGCTTCTTTCAGGCATTCAGCGACTCGGCGAAGATACTTCAAGTGCGTTCTTATGTCAGGCGCTAGTATTAGCAGATCATCCAAGTAGACGAACACATTCGAGCGGATTTCAGCTGGAATTACTAGGTCCATGAGTCTCACCAGCCTCTGTGATGCGTTACAGAGTCCGAAAGGCATCACACGGAACTGGTAAAGAGGCCGACCGGGAACCGTAAAGACTGTGTATTCCTTGCTGCTCGTGTCCAACTCAATCCGCCAAAAAGCGAACTTCAAATCCACGCTGGAAATGTAGTACGTTTGTTCAATTCTGGACAGGATGCCGTCTATGCTGGGCAACGGGTAAGCATCTTTGATGGTCACATCATTAAGCTTACGTGCGTCTAGCTCTTGTTCCTCGGCCTTGGAAAGCGTCCAGGACTCGGGATCGGTTTTCTCCTCATCGTCATCCTCGACCTCAGCGTAGTGCTCCATGTCCCTGGCGTGTAATTCTTCGGCCTTCTTCACGCCTTCCGGATCGATGGGGCCTATAGTCCGAATGCTTGCCAAAAATCCACTCCAAAATAAGCTGGCTGCTCCAGGTAAGGACACAAGTAGAAAAGAATGTGCTCTGTCCGTCCTCGGTATTCCACCGGTAACTTGACCCGTCCGATAATTGACCGATCCTCCCCTGAGGCCGTACGGACTGCTGACAAGTACTTCTGGACGGACACATCCAAGGCCTCGACCAGCTCTCTGCCACCTTTTCCAAGCAGACTCACACTCGCTCCAGTGTCCAACAACCCCGTCAGTTGCTTGGTCAGGACTCGGACTGCGGCGAACGGTCTGGGATCTCACGATAAAGTGCACTTCACGGCGGCCACTGCTTCGCGTCGGCAGTTCCGACGTTTGCGAAATCGGTCCCTGGCCTTTTGCACCTTGCGGGACACCATACTCATCCCGCCTAACTGGTGCTCTGAGAAGATACTGTTCCTGATATCTAGGTACCGACGCATCCTCATCCCTCAAGACTAAATTTCTTTCTCTATTTTTTTTTTTCCAGCCTCAATAAGGGGAGATGGAGCCGATCACCAGCCGATAGACTCCGCGCCAGTCGTCTTGCGTCTACAATTTCGTCCGAATTTTCAATAAACAAGCCGCTGGTCAACTGGGCTAACTTTCAGCTGTGCTGAAAGTCGCCAGTTAAGGACTTCGGCTGTTTGCAGGATCGCATAGCGCAGCGCGTGACGACGTCACGACCACACATTTAAGTTTTAAACCGATATGATATGAAAACGCAAATACCCAGAAAACCAAGGATCTGCACAAAACAAACAACTACACTGTAACCCAAAAACAAAACATTCATTAAAATGACGTTAACAAAAAAATATGTCCCTAATACCTGTATCACAGTTTTATCACAGTTTTTGGTTTAACCTTTCGTGCTTATTGCACGGACGACCTGGAATGCGAATCCTTCGATTTCCTTCGAAGAGGATGTCACCGCCAAATCACAGCTAATCCCTGTGAACTGTGCCTCGGGAGCAATTGTCCTACCTCTAGTGGACAGCCTCCCTTTCTTCCTACAAAATTTAAACAACTTTTCTCCACCAGTCCGCATCCCGGTGCAATTGCATGTGTGTCATGCAAGCCACCGTTCGTGGGCTGGCTGGAGATAATAAATATGCGAGACGCCGTCGACTCGGCTATCACATATTTTATTTGTTAAATTGGGCGCCATATTGTTACGGAACTGCATCTTTCCCGGAGGGCAGCGCCGGCTAGTCACGGAGTCCCAGGGCAGAGTACCCAAAGCGGCAACAACCGAAGGGAAATTTTTAGACGCTTAATACTACAAGTGTCAGGCAAAAAATCGACGCACGGCACTAAATTGGAGGCGTTTGCCAACCGGGTCGCCTAATCCTGAGGAGCTCCAAGGGAAAAGAAGGGACGTGCTGAAAATGTAAGTACGCTAAATAAATCCCACAAGTCATTAAATTTCGCGACCCAATTTATAGGTAGTTGGACGCGCGGCCAGGGTTCGGAATTAAGCCTCTAATTTTAGATTAGATTTCACAGTGAGTACCTGACAATCTGGACTAGGTGACATTACAAAAACAATGACTAAAGCTTATTTATTGCAGAGTTCCTCGTCGGATGTGGTTGAAACTGCAGCCAGAATGCAAAAATCGCTAGCGGCGAAAACCAGCGCGAGTCCGCACGGAGCCAATTGGTCCGGAGGATAGCGCAGCGTCCGCGTAAGAGGGGCCGGAGGCAGTGCGTCGGTGGACTTGGAGATGACCACGTGGCCAGCGCGGGCATTCGTTCCCGGAACGGACTCACCGAGGTAATCTCCGTATCTGGCCGTCTCGGAGGCAGTCGCTGTAGCTGCTGGCGCTGGAGGCTGCTGCTGCTGCTGCTGATCGCTGCTGCGGCTGATGCTGCTACGGCTGATGCTGCTGCGGCTGATGCTGATGCGGCTGATGCTGCTGCGGCCAATGCTGCTGCGGCCAATGCTGCTGCGGCTAATGCTGCGGCGGCTGGTGGCCGACGACCAGGTTAGGTCCGCCTGGTAAGTGTTCACTTCCCAAATCTAGATAGGGTCCCCGGTGGCTTTAATATTTACAAATAAACACTGTTATTCATAAGTTTATTGCAAATAAATTACCACTCACTTTAATTTATCTAAACACCAATAATGCACATATGAACTTAATTTTCCACGACTGTTCTCCTACGACTTATTGCAGCAACTAAAGCAAAACCCTGACCTACACCAAAGTCGTCATTTTCCCCCCGCTCTCTCAAGATGGGTCAGCGAACGTATTCAAGGCTATTAAACCCAGCTAACGAGCGAACCGGGCTAAATTTAAATAGCTAAATCCTCTCCCGCTATCAATAGTAGGTGTCACCACCGAATCTTATCGATAGCGGGACCTGCTGACGTATCGGTTCGTTTTAGTATTTTCCAGACGGCTTTAACTGAAAATGCAACAACTTTTCGTTAACAGCCACACACATTAGGAACATTTATTAAATTTTCTTTGCTGTATATTAGCACATAAAAAAAAGTTTTTATAAATTTTTTAACAGAGTTTTACTTTGCATGTACATAAGTTGAATAAGTCAAGCTTTTTTCTAATTGTTGTTTAATTCATATTATTAAATTCCATTTTGCCATTAAAGTATTTTGAATAGCAATACCATATTTACATGAAAGTTAAAACCGCAAAGAATATATAAATTTCACTAACCACAAAGGCATTAGATATTTTAATTAAAAATCATAATGCAAGTGGCGAGAAATGCAAAAGAAACTAAAAAGACCGCGCGCTTTCTTGCATTTCCCTTTTTTTCTTGTCGTTTGCTTTTAAGAGTACCATTTTCTCCGGTTACTCCTTGTGATTACAGTGCCGGAGGAAAGTATAGCACCGGCAAATGTAAAATAATAATTTAAAACAAAATACGCTTTGAGACGAAATCATGTAATCGTGTATATATTATTACCTAAAATATAATATACAAAAAACTGCTTGAAATTAATATTTTAAATAAGAATTTTATAAGAAATATATTTAATATTATAATTAATAAAAATAAATATTACTATTTTTACAGAACTAATTTTAGTACCATTTAAACAAGTCATTTGCGACCAACCTAACAAAGCGTTCAGATATTTTTATTTAAGAGTGCATATATTTGGCCGCTGCTGTTCATTAAGAAAAAAAATATTTACAACAGCTGGCTTTTATGCGCATGATTGACGCAATTTTTGCTTTGCTTCAAAATTAAAATCTATTTTGCATAAAAACGAATGAAGACAAGAGCGCAGCAAATCCTGGTCGAAGTACCACAATGCATTATTGCTGGATCCCTGGCAGAAAAATCTCCCACATATACGGCGATCCTTGCTCTTTTTTAGAAACTGTTGTGGTCTCCATTGCAAGCCCGTCAAACAACACCAACAGTTCCCCTTCCTGGTCATACAAGTTGGCAAATGCCTCGGTCGCATTATGGATGTCCTGCTGAGCATTACAGAATCTAGTAAACTCATTCATGTTCATTAATTTTAATTAATTTATTTTGAATTTTCCAAAATTCTAAAGTAAACAAACCCAGATCAGCTGTTTGTGCCACTCACATGTCGGAGTAGCATTAGCTAAATGCTAATGCGCCAATGGTATCAGGTACATTTAAAATGTCCATTAATGCGGCAATGAAATCAGGCTATAATATAAATGCGAAAAATAAAGGCGCCTACGAACGTTTTTAGAACAAAAACAGAAAAATACCGATATTTAGTTGGTGGTGAAATTTTTTTTTCGAATTTAACATCTTTTTTGCATAAAAATGGCTAAAAACAAGAGCAAGCGCAGCAAATCCTACTCGCAATACCACTGGCAATATTGCTGGAACACTGGCAGGAAAAAACACCCACATTGTCGAGGATCCTTGCTCAATTTTGGAAACTGTGGTGGTCTCATTTGTAAACCCGTCAAACAACACAATCAGATCACCTCCTCGTCACCAAGTGGGCAAATGCCTTGAAAATATCGTAATATTTCCGTTAACTAACTTATATTAATGATTTTTAATTAATATTTTTTGGATTTGCGATAATTCAAGTAAACAAAACGAGATCAGATGTTTGTGCCATTCACATTTCGGAGTCGCATAAATAAATGTGCCAATGGAATCAGGCACATATAAAAAGTCCACTAATGCGGCAATGGAAACATGCTATAAAATAGTTGGTAAATGCTTTATTTTATAGCCTAATTCCATTGGCGCATTAAAACGCATTTAACCTAATAGCCTATATCCACAGAGATCAATCACCTTCCACTATCCGTTCAACTTGAGGCCCTTAGGGTTTTGCCGTTCCAAAAATTTTCAAGTTAGTCCGCCGTTAAAATTTGACGGACTAATTTATGCGATAGCCAGGCGATGTTTCTGAAGTGCAACCCTCTTTCCACGCACCCATCACTGAATAACCGTTGAAATTTTTAAAAAAGTGAAACTCCAGTATCCACAGAGCACATCCACCATCCGATTTCATCTGAACAGCTGTGGCTCATCAAAATATACACAAAAATAATTGACCTGTTGATGAGCAACAACTGTTCAGATGACCTTGGAAGGTCGTAGGTATATGTTCTCTGTGAAAATCGGAGTTTCACACTTGTCAAAAACTCCAACCGTTTCCAACGGATGGCCTGTGTGGAAAGAGGGCATAATGAGCGTTTACATAAGTTAACTGTGGCCAGCCGAACTAAAGTTGTTGACCACAGTTTACGTAAACAACTTCGCTCCGGCCAAATTGATGACCATGCAATGAGCCGGATGCTCGTGCACAGATGGCAAACACTGCATATTTGCGTGGCCGCTGCGAGCCCCTGTTAGCTTTAAGTCAATCCCTTAGTTTTAGTTTTGATTTGAATCCAATAAAGAGCACATCGCTCGTAAACCAAACTCCGGCAACCGCCGTTAACCAATTTATTATTTGAACACTGACTGAGTCTCTAGGCCAGTAGTGAACGGAGGGCAGTTACCCTTCCAGCGTAATCGTCATAACTCTTCAGTGGACGAAAGCTGACCGTCGGCCAACCGGCCACCTACCTACAGGAGATACAAGGAATCACCATCCCCGTACCAACGTGAACCGGACGACCGTCCACCTATCTACAAGAGCTACGCAGAACCACCATCCTCATACCAACGTAAATCGACCAAACCGGCGATCAACAACGGGACTGTAGCGAGGGACTAACTGCATCAAACCTATGTATAATAACTAATTGGCGCTCAACTAAGTGGTTACTAGAACCCACAGGACAATTTTTTGGAAAAAACGAATTCACCAAGCATGTAAGTGGGCCCTTCGGCCAAAACTTTTATGTCTTCAAAAAAATGTATGTAACTGCAAAGGGAGGACAAGCATTGAATTCTGTCCCCTATAGCAACAAAGCGAAAGAATTTAAAATATATTAATAACAAGTGTATAGTGATTTTTTTTGAAAAATATCAGTATTTATAATTTTCTAATTTATAATTTAACAGTTATTACGTTAATTATCTTAAACAACAAAAATACAAAAGCTATAATTTTCAATGCGAAATTTTTTAACAACATAATAAATTTATTAGTTAAAATTATGCCCCATAATTTTTCTTTCTGTGTAACGGCGCATCGCTATTTCGCCGGCCATTTCAGAGGTCTGTTTTCGTTTTTTCTCATTGTATACTAAATATAATTTTGTACAGCGGCCGCACATTCTGTCACCCTGCAGACATTGTTGGTGTTTTTATTGTCCCGCATATCAAAAGGAAATTCGACCCCAAAGTCTTTCGACTTTGTCTTTGTTGTGCAGCGCTTTGGCTTATGCGCGTGAATCTCTCGAATATGCGCGTGAATTTTTCGAATATAGAAACAATAAACAACACTCAAGCGACTCAGAGTCCGAGAGTGAGGGACAGCTCCACGCCTCAACCCCAATACTCAGGCCCCCAGCCCCCTCTACAGAAATGGATCCCGAGCAGCTCCGAGCTGTTATACAGGCCGTCGTTAGCAATGCCCTTGCAGAACAGACCCCCCAAAGCCAGCTGAGGGAGCAAGCTCTAAGGAATCAAATTGAGGAATTGGCCGGGCGAGTGGCGGCAGTCAGCACCATCCCATACCCCTCAAATAAGAACATATAAAGCTATAGAGATAGAGGACACTGTTCAATGTAACGAGCCTCTGGACGCCTCCTGGCGACAGGCGGCCGTAGCGGCCTCTCATATTTTTAGACGATACGATGGCAGCTCTCGCCACTACCAGGCAGTAATAATAATCAGGAGCAAGGTTAGGGGACCCGCCGACTTGGTACTGTCGTCATTCGGAACAGTACTCAATTTCGATGCGCGTCGCCTAGATGCGAGTCGCCGAGATTTTACATATAGCGATAAACGCCCAATGCATGTCATAGAGCAGGAGATGGGTACCCTCAGACAGGGAAATCTTTCACTGCTGCAATATTATGACGAGGTGGAGAAAAAACTTACCCTCCTCACAAACAAGGCCACCATGTCGCACGACGCTTCGGCGGCCGAAGTCCTGTGCGAAAAATTCTGAGATGATGCCCTTCGAGTATTCATCTCGGGATTAAAACGCAGCCTCACAGATGTCCTCTTCTCGGTGAAGCCAAAGGACATGCCAACAGCACTTGCTTTGGCTCAGGAGGTGGAGGCAAATCACGAGAGGTACTCTTTCGCGGCCTCATTTGCAAGAAGCCAGGAGGATAGGGATAAAAAACAATATCCAAAGGCGCAAGAGCGTCAACAAACCCCTCCTCAGAATAGTTTCCAAACAGGTGCTGCCAAAAATCCCTATTTCACAATGCAGCACAAAGCTCATGTTGACTCTGCTCCACGCAGTGACAGACTTCGTGAAAATAATTCTGAGCCGATGGATATTGACCCTTCAATGTCCAAAATGCACAAGCCTCCTCAGGCACCGGCTTACCAAAACAGGAAGCCGGCCGTGTCCGATCGTTCAGGCCCCATTAAAAGGCAGAGAGTTAACCACGTCGCGAAGAGCGTGGGCGAAACTGAAGAGAAATACACCGCCGCAGCTTCCAGCGCAGCGGCCAAAATCGATGATGACGCCATCTCAGAGTATGACTCCGATATAATAAAGGGAAGATCCCTGCTGCCCGTCATCAGACGAAGAGTAGCGGGGACTAACATGAGATTCCTTATCGAAACGGGCACATCGAAAAATTTCATCCGACCTCACAAAGGATTGAAAGGCGTTTGCCCAGTTGACACCCCATTTACCATTCATTCAATTCATGGGGGTACAACTATCACGTATAAATGCTTCGTCTCAATATTCAATCTTAGGGCTACCTTTTTCGTACTACCAGACTTGACTACCTTTGATGGAATAATCGGCCTCGAGCTATTAAAACAGGCAGGGGCGTCACTCTGCCTAGCTTCCGGCCACCTAAAATGGGGCACTGAAGTAGAGCAGATTGATTTCCATACGTGCGCTGATGTGAACTTCACCAATGTGGATTGCTCAGATGCACCGCCATTGGC